AATGAGATTACCCTCTCGAATCATCAACCTAAGAGGAATATGCAAAGATTAAGAATCAGAATTTTTAATCGAATATGAAGCGCGAGTCTCGCTTGGTTCCTAGAAACATGCGCCCCTGATGGAATACTCGCTCTCCTTGTCGATGTTTCCAAAGTTCGCCTCATCTTATTCCATACGACACTCAGAAACCATGAGAAATTCCAACAACAACTTGCTTCCCGTCGAGGCCTTAGTTCGCGCCGCGGCGGTCAAGATCCGTAGTGGGCTCTGGCGAACTCCAAGTTCAACGCATAGAAGAAGCTCGGTCTCAGCATGAGTCCTAACCATTCTAAACGGAAATCCCAAAAAAGGGGTACATCCCGAAATAACGGAGTGATTTCGGCTATTGTCAGGGGAAATGACACGATATTTGGGAAAAAGCGGAGGCATGTCTATCATCCATGATCTTCGTGCGATTTTTACGATGAGCTTCATGCGGAGATTACCCCCTAGTCTCTCGAACACGCTCCTACCAGACTCGATGACGGTGCTGTCAACAAGCCGATTGCAAGGGTGATTTAAACGATCTCTGGACGTTGTTTGGGAAGGCGCCGTCGTAGTTTTCCCCGAGACCTAGAGGCTCTTCTACACGTCACCCATGACGCTTCCCTGTAGGCCGTGTCGATTTTGCGTCGAAAGACGGCTACGAGTCTGGCCTAGGCTCTCCACACTCCTCTCGCGTAGCAGGTCGGGACTCGTCCAGACGAAAATTTCAAGAGAAGAAGAACCCAGTATTTTCTCGTTCGTCTAGTATTGGAGTGTTAACTGAGCGGCAGCGACGGCTCGCTGACGGATGGGAGAGCACCGTGTCAAGAGCCACTTGAAGGAGGAGACATCAACTTGCAACGAGCACCGCGAAGATGCAGAGTTTCAGTATTTATATCGCCACAGCCATCTATCGCGATGACAGACGGACGGTAAATTGATCGTGAGCACGACTGGACGAGTGATTCTAGAGTTCTCTTCACAGGAGCCAATCCCCGGAAGACGCTGAATTTTCGGATGCGCTTGATACAAGCTTCGCTGCTAGGGGACGAGGTCCCACATCCTTGATCTGCTTGCTGGGAATTTCATTTCATTCACTTCCTGAGAAGGCTCGGGTCGGGCTTTGAAGTCCAGAGAGAGAAGAGGGAAGATCGGATTCGTCAAACTTGCCGGGAAGATAACGTTACGATATGGTCACGTCTCGCGAGATCTCGCGATCGCGAGATCGCATAGTGGAGTCGCTGCTGGAGTTTCGCCCACAAGAGGCGACCTTCACGGGCACTGATTGTCAAGGGAGATTCCACGCCGACAGGTCGTAAGGCTACGGGGCGAGATACAGCAAGCGTAATCCAAGCCTTCCGATATGGCGAACGCTCATTCTTGTTTCGGTGAGATTCATCCCTCGAATATAGAGAGAGAGGGCAATCTCCTCCGTATAAAGAGATCTTCGGATGACGATTTCGTCTCCGATCAGCGACCCAATTAGCCAAGCCCGCGGGAACGCTCAACACGCGATCGAGATGCGGGCGGGACGCAGACTTTGATCACGGGTCTCCCTGTTCTTTCCGCCAACATGAGGAGAGCGAGATGATGTGACGACGAGCGAAATGTTGTAGAAACACGAGGCGAGTCGGTTTAGGGTGCGAATGATTCGCTACTCGAAGGGCATGATTCGACGTTGTTTAGAATCACCGGAAATCGAGAACATGATCTCCGACAGCGGCAGCACTGTTCGAGATGGCGGTCGGCCAGACTGCGCGTCAGCTCGAGAGCAAACCACACGTCGATCGATGTCGAGGTCAGTCCAGTAGCATTGTCGATTTAATTGTCGCTGTCATGTTGATCTCTGAGCCTTTCAAGGAAATTCCATTCAACCGCGATCCGCAAAGTCCGAATGGATATTGACTCTCTCTGTGATAATGAGTCATTCCCCAGATATCTGTATATCAGTAGTTCATGATCGCGAGTTGTCGGGAGAACTTTTCTCAGCCGCGATAAGTTTCAGCTTCATGAACTCGGATACAGTCCAAGTGATTAGACCCTCTACCAAATCACGAAAATTCGGGCCGAAGCTCCGCGAATAAATTCGTTGGACGAACGGAAGCGCGGACCTGTTCCGAAGTCTGAGGGACATCCTCTGCTAGTTTTGGCGGGCACTGCTTCGTTGTCCATATCCCAGATGACGCCCCCACCTCCTCCTCCTCCTCCTCCCCGTCAACACATGGACGGCACACGACCGGCAGAGACAACGACCACTACGCTCACCTGACGCTACGGTTCTTGGACGGCCCCCTGAGATCATTCGCGAACGTATCTCTTCGCGTATCCCTCCGCGAACGCAATATTTTTGGAATGCTCGCGGGGATTCGGGTGCGAGAGATTCGCGCCGACGAGATCGCGGAAACGACAGAGAAAGCGAGCAAAATCGAACGTTCGCCACGCTCCGTATTGACGAACCATCAATGGAGGAACGAGGTGGACAAGACTGCCGCGTACTCTTTTAACATATGAACACGCTTGAGTCGGTGTCCATCTGGGTGGCTACGGCCGCCCGACCGACGGTTGTGCTTACTCGTGGCTCCGATACCGTCCCGAGGCTGGACCGGCCGCCACAGCAGCAGAACAACCAGGCAAGCCACATGACCGACCTGGTGTCACACTTGGAAGCGTGTGTCGAGCGTCAATTGACGGCCGGAGGGACAGGCAGACAGACCGAGCGAGCGACCGATGCCGCGTGCCGGCGACCTTTTTTTCAAATGTTGTTGGGGTGTAACAGCAGCAGGAGTGTAGGAGTTAGTACGACGGGTTCAGCGGCAGCAGCAATCGTATCGGACAGCGAGTAAAACGATGATGACGCCAGCACCGCGATCAACTGGCACGCCCATCGACCTTTACGCTCTCTAAACGGCGCGGCACGCTTCACTGGACAGTGTACGATGCAGGCCGCCGTGCATACATGCCTCATCATCGTTTCTAAACACGAGGGAGAAGAACAACGAACGGCACGAATAGAAAAATTGAAACCTTTGAAGCGACATGACTAGCTGACAATCCACATATACCTACTATATGTTAGTCGTCCGCCGACAGATGCTTCTCTTCGGTGCTTGTGACAAGCGCGACAAAGGCACAAGTTGACACGGCGGCACGCCGACGCCAGGCCAGTCCGTGAAATGTCCATGGTCAGTCCACTGGACAGCGGTGTCGTGTTTCCTCTGCCGTTTCTCCTCGACATGCTCCGTTCCTCGAAGGGATTCTTCTTCGAGGATACGGATCAAAATCTCGACGTCGGCGTCGTCGGCCGTAATGCTCGAGGCATCGATAATAATAATTGCAGTCGTTTCCTTTATCGTCCCTCCTCCGCGCGTCGGAGCGAAGTTTTCTGCTCTATGTTTTTTCTCGATCTGGAATTAGAAGTCGATCCGCCTTTTGCAATCGAGAAATGGATTTCCATTCGTGGAGTTTCTAGTTCGGACTGGTCTACAAGAGGAAATATTCCACGAGAGCATCTGGGAATCGCTCTGACCAGCATGACAAGCCCCGATCAATTGTCAACGTCTAGCTGCAGCCAGAGATCGGCTGATTCCGCGGTGCCGTGATTGGTTAACCCAAATGTAGTTGGTTGACCCGTGTTGTCAACGCTGACGTCTGCGGTCGTTCGGTTTCGAAGATCTCCGTGGACGATGAGAGCAGCTGTTGAACACAACTGACGAACCCTTTCGTTCTTCTGTTTGAATAAATTTCCCCGTCCAGCAACAGAATACTCGAACCGGCAGAGGGTGAACGCGACGGGACAGACCGGAAAAAAATCGGACCTGGACGTCGACTGCTCAGCCTCAAGATTCGGTCGACGGGGTAAGCCCATAATCCGCCGAGTTCGTACGCCCCTCCATCAATAAGCTCTTTTCATTCGCCGTTTACGAAAAACCCGACACGCAGCGGAGCTCCGCCTTGGAACGAGTGTCGGTGTTTACATTGTTGCTCGTTTCCCTGCTCGCTCGCGCGAGCACTGAGCGCCCGATCCTTCGACTCAGCCTGGCCAGTCTGACTCCTGTTCGTTTCATCGAAGAAGACCCAAGGGGCCCATAGCTTCCAAAGTCATCACTACCGGCAGCAACAGCCGGTATCTAATTCTGAATTATTGCAAGGGCTATCACGATGAGATGGTTTTTGCCTGGATCGACCGGTGGACCGAGCGAAGTACCACAACGCTCAACCACATGGGGAGGGTCCGGGCTTTTCCGCCCGGCGGATCGGGCGACCTGGAAATACGTTCGAGCTCCATCCGACCATTGAGAGCTCGCCGCTCCTCGGAGTTCACCGCTGACTCTCCGAGTACGAACGACCGGAGGCAGACCAGTGCGCACTCGACACCCGCACTCGAAGATGTCGGGTATTTCTAATGATTGATGCAAAGTCACTGGTAAGGAATATCTGAACCAGGTCCGGAAGAGAATCTTCTCGATGACGTACCTAAAGTTCTCTCTCGGGACCGAAAAAGCCAAGTTCGCGACTTCGTGGTGCGCGATTTCCATGCCTGCGAACCTTGCTCAGATTGTCTGATTGTCGGTGTTTCGGACCTCTGGCCTATGACTCACGGTGTTGGACATCGGACTCAAGACCTCTGTCCCTCCTCCTCCTCCTCCTCGCGTGTGTGCGCTCGAATGTGGACATCATGAGGCGATTGAATTGCTTTTCTTCGCGTGGTTCCGCTGGCTATCTTTCTGGCTAGCCCACCGAGTGAGTCGCTCTTTTTCGCTCTCTAGCTCTACGAGTCATTTTGACGGAACGATTGATAAGCGGCGACGACCGCACCAACAGCAGGGTCGCGCTCGGAGCGCTGCTGATTTCGACAGCAGCGCCATCTTCCTCCACCGCGTGAACTACGAGAGTTTTGCGCCAAAAGCCGAGCATCCCATTGGACGCTCCCTCGCATGTTGCTATAAAGGACCGAGCAGGAAAGATCGTTCACTCACTCGCTTGTTGGTTTCGTGGCAGAGCGGCGTCGAGCGTTCTACATCGGTCGTCAAAGCTCACTGGTGTTGTGGCCGGCTAGTCGGCCTGCCTACCCGTACATCGGTCTTGTTGTTGTCGTCGTCAAGGGCTCCGTCCATTTTGGATAAACATTACGTGTTCGACAAACGGTGAATGTGAAGTTTCGACGAGTCTATCTTCGACGCAAGAAACATCGCATGCGAAAATGCCCACAATCGTCCCTCGGTCAGTACCGGTGAAGATCACCAGGGATCGTTCCACGACCCCACCCTCACCACGACTGCTCAATATCCGGAGATCGTCTCCGGTGGCGAGATGTCTTTTCGGACCGCCAGATAAGAAAGACACGCTGGAGTTCGCCCGTTTAGAGATCCGCAAAGAGCAAGAGCGTCTCATCGAGAAGTACAACTTCGACTTTCAAACCGATACCCCGCTACCGGGAAACTTCGTCTATGAGCCGATCGACGACGTCCCGGAGTGTTTGCGGGACTCGAGGTCACCGAAGAAGAGCCCGGAAGATGTCGCTCAACGGAAAATCACCCGTAAGTAATCTCCTCCTCAAGTCTTCCGTATCTTGAGTTCACCCGATCTCCGTCCGACGGAGATTTTGCATCGTTGTCAACCCGCCTGCAGCTCCAACGGCCTAAACAGCTGAGCGGCCGGCGGGCTGGCTGGCAGGCAGACTTCGCTGGCTCGCTATGGAGTCGCGGTTGTAATCGTCGCGGAGCTCTTTCGCTCCAAAGCGACGCCGCGTGTCCTGGATGCGACACCGAGCGTTGTTTTCCCTCGTATCACGCCTCGCTGACGAAGTACTTTCCTATCGCTTGCAGAATATATGGGAGTCATGAAACCCTCGAAGCTGTCGTTGCGTAAACGGAGGCCAGACGAGGAGATCCGTGACGATCCTGTCAAATCGCCTCGCGTGGAAAACGCCGCTTGAACGGTCCCTGACAACGAATCGATTGACGATAGTCCTCGAAGTCGGTCAAATCGAAAACATGTTTACTGACACGTAAACTAAATGGAAACAACTGTCACAAGAACAAAAACAACAACAACAGCGGCCACGACAACAACTAGGACGTCCCGAGCTGTGGGCAGTCAATCGATGCGGTTACCAATAATCCTGCGATCTCGAAGGGACTCATCTGTCTCTAGTCAACCCACCCTCGCAATCTACGGAGTGAAAACTGTCGCGTCGCGATGGACGAAGCTCCGCTCTGTACATGAATGCATCATATTAGTCTGTAAGAGAATCCGGGTCGGAAAACAGGATATCGTGTCCGGCAGTCACAATGTATATACTTAGGCCGGATAGGAGAGTATTCGATTTTTTTGCGCGCTGTAAAGGACCGACAATCCACAAAGCCAAGCATCCTAATATATTTCTAACTTTAGTAGAGATAGCCAACTGGACGACGGGCAGAGACGAAAGGGACTGGATAATCATGTTGAAATCGTTGTACATTTCTCTCATTTCATCCCTGTCGAAAGTTTTTCCGACTCATCGGAACGCATAATGAAAGTATGATTCGCTTCAAAGGAGCCCGTCGTCACTCCGTGTCGTTCGAGTATCTGGAAGACGCCGCTCCAACGACTTGCAGAAATGCTAGCGAAACCCCACACTGATGTATGAGGTGTGGTCAGAAAATAAATTATTCAATGTCGCTTCGCGATCATTTCCGATTCCGGAAGGAACAACTATTCGAAGGGGCTAATCGTCGTGGAGCGCGTCTACGACTCGAGTGGACACGATTGTACCGATATACGGAGACTGTAACAAGAATAAACTACGCTGAGAAGATATTCTATGAAAGAACAAACTGCCTCGTTCTCCTCTTCCCCCTCCTCATGCGTTTCGACTTCTGTCATCCTTTCCAGTAACCAAGAACCTGAAGGCACCAACATCTGTCAGAAGGAGCTGCGAGGGCAAGATCAGTCGGCGTCATCAATCAATTTTCTGATCCATCCGACACGCCACGACGCGATCGATTGAAATTCTGTTCGTCCGCCTGGTCGCCTGAACTCCAGAGTCAGAAGGAGACAATTGAACTTCGGCTTGAAAGTCTTCTGCCGAGGACAGACCAGAAGTGTCAAGCTCCTGACGATACGAAACGTGGAGCACGATTGATGTCGTCCTCAAAGCATACATTCAGGAGAGCGATTTCATTCTGACGAGCATAGGGCACCTCGTGGGTCCTCGATCGACGCTTGCGTCGTCAACGGTCTGAGAGAACGCTTGCGACCGGAGCGACGGCAAACGGAAAAACGTTTATGCACCGTAGGCGAGAGAGAGAGGAAGGAAGAAAGTAAGTCCACCAGCTCGCTCGCCGAAAGCGCTTTCGAGACCGCTGTTGACTCTATCTGCGTATGGATTCAAGGCCGCTTCAGTCTCCTCCACTGCTACGACGCTTTTGACGGCAACGACAACAGCATTGTGCGTTAAGCATCGAGTCGCCCGCTGTCAGCGTGGGCGGACTGACGAGCGAGCGTGCGTGCGTATGACTCTGTGTGTGTGTTCACGTTCGTTGGCCCCATTTCTCGCGGGCCATCGTTCCATGGCCATCCAGCCGTAGACGTTTTTCCGCTGCCACTCGTTGGCGAACCAACGTAGGTTGACTGCCTCGCTCGTTGGCGGTAGACGTCGACGCTCGAACGCCTTCACTGCTACAGACTCAGACGGGAAAAGCGACGGATGCAAAGCTGAGAAAATTCGCTCCATGTCGAGTTTGCCTCGAGTTTTCGTATCTACGGTGTCCCTCGGTCGAGCGACTTGAAGGAGGAGGAGGAGTTGTCTGGTATTCCCGGCCGCCGTCCCTCGTCTCCGTGAATATTCGTCAGTCACCCCGTCACTTGATCAGTCCGATTGAGCTAAATCATAACAAGCGGTTGTTTATTGCCGATTAAGTGGGCACGGTGCGCGCAGCAGCCGTTGGAATAGGCGAACGAGCGAGCGACCGACCGACCGAGTGGCTGCATACATGCATTCGACTGACTCCCCCCTCCCGCTGGATGTTCTTCAAAAGCATTGAGCAGGGTGATGTATGGTCGGTCCCTCCGCTGCGACCAATGCTTCCAATGGTGCCGCCGATCCTCGATAGAGAAAAAGACGAATATATAAGAGGCCCCGCACGGCCGAGAGTCCCTATGTGGAACAGAGAACACCAAGAGAGTCGGACACCTTTGAGCTCATTTCGGTCGAGTCTGTCGCAGCGACCCGGGATCCTCTTGCCGATCGTGAGCTCTGCAGAGAAGCTCAGCTCTTGAGGCGACATTCTCCCCGAACCTGGAGCTGGAGCTCTCCGGGAACTTCGGGTGGAACGTGGGTTCGATTCTGTAGATTCCTTATACGCTTTCCTCCAAAACGCTTCATTCTCCTGCGTTGAATATTGGCTTATTCGGAAGCTTTTTCGTTCGCCTGGTTGGTCACTAAGTTGTCCGCTGGTTCGGGAACGACAGCCTAGCTCAGATGCATCGTTGGTTGATTCGTTGGTTATCCTGCCGGTTTATGGTTACACTGATAAGAGAATTTCTATTGTGAACCCGCTTCCTGGTCAGGCAGTGCGAAAGAAGCAGCACCAACGACCGATAACTAGAATGCGTTGAATAGACAAGGGTATCTATGCATGCGCGCAGGCGTACATTCGTTGGCCCTGCTTGGTCTCGCTTCCAGACCTCGCAGATAAAGACTCCTCCAGGTCCATCGCATCGATTCGGACGATTTCCGAGGAGTGACACGTCGGTCCCTTACTGGAGGGGTTTTCAAATCCAGACCATAGGTCTCAACGTCGAGAACATCGTCCCTGTCCACGTCCATCTTAGTATTTAAAGATCTGACCCGAGCTGGAGCGATGGAGCGCTAGAATTTGGAGTTCCTTCCGGTGCTTTCCAGCTACACGATAGGCAGGCTCGCCGAATCGATCGAGATGTATTACAGGAATCTTCCCCTTTTCGGAGCCGAGCATCCGGAGAAAAACTATCAATCGGCCTCTGGATCGGAATAGAAGAGTTCCCATAGCCGTACTCTCTTTCACAGCTATTCCTTCGGTGAAACTTATATGTCTTCCGGAGACCGAGCCTTCGGCGATACGTCGGAGGAAAAGTACCGCGAGAATCATGAATCAACGACATTTTGTGAAAACTCTCAGAGAAGTTTACGGACGGACGCCGGACCACTACAAGGGCTTCCTTCCCAGGAATTTCGGCAGTGCCCCGCGGAATTCGGCGCTGAATGAATTTGCTTCAGACCGCCTGTTACCGCTGAACGCGACGCGGCGTGTGTGCCTCTGGTTCTAGGTTTGAGTATGCTCTCGGTCGGTCGACCTCATCATAGTTGCCGAAATCGTGTAGGGTCGAAATCGGTGTCCTGTCATGGCCGAGCACAGAGCATGCTAACGTCAGTATGGGGGAAGGAGGCCTATGCGGACCTGATCGTCGCTGCCGCCGCCGCCGACGTCATCATGATCACCGCTCCAACCTGACATGAACAGGTCCTGTACGTATTGTGTGGGTTAGGCCGCTCGCTGCTCGCGTTCGGCTGGGTCGTTGATTACGTCTGCGTCAATCGAATTGAAAGGTCATCAGCGATTTCGTCTTCCCATCGTGTCGGACGGGATCGCCGGAGAATAGCAGATTCAATTTGTTGTTCTCGTGCCGCCGACGCCACGGGGCCGGTCGGCATCCCGTCCTCGCTCTCACCGAACGGTCGAACTCGCCAACGTGTGGCCGCTCGCTTCAGGGAAGCAATAATGTCAAACCTACTCACAAGTAGACACAGTCAGAGAATATCTGCGAAACGTAACGATTTTATTGAGTTGTTGTCGGCGGGACCGCCGCGCATCGGTCGGCGGCGCTCGGACCGACAAACCGTCCGTCCGATCGAGTGACTTGCCGACGACGCGAACGGCTCATTGGGGCAATATGCTTCGCGATACCTCCGCTCTAGACCGGTATCCATCAATTGGATGAACAAGCACCTCGAGAGAGCGACTATTCTTTGATCCGTGCCTGGGCATTGTTGTCGGCGCTTGTCGTTCCGCTCTCTTCGTTCTTTTTCTCCACTACCGCCCCTGCCGCATACGACCACACAATCGTCGATGCCGCGTTCGCCACTACTGCTTCGACTGTCGCGGTAAGGCATACGGCTCGCACTTTGATCCGCGTAGTCCGGGCCACGTAGAAAGGATTGGAATCTATCACTGTAAGCAGAGAACGTCAAAAGAATGCTCGCTATGTGAAGACAAGAATGTCATTCGTTGACGGCGTCAACAAGTCACGTGGTCCAAAGGCTTTAGACGCACCCCCTCCGCGAAATTCGCAGTGACCCGAGTGGAGCTTGGGTTGCTGAGAAGAAAGGATAAGGGATATCGCTTTCATTGGGCAGGTTCCTCTGATGACCTTCTGCGTTTTTCGGGAGTTCGCTTTTCGGCTCTAACGAAGATCATCCCGAATGATCTGCCGGGGAGCCACTGGAGCCGCGAGCACTAGCGAAAGGAATCGCTCATTCTAATCCGCTTCCCCTTATTCTGGTTTGATTCCCTTATCGACGTCGTAAGAAGTAATCGTTCTTGTCGTCGTTCTTCTCAAAGTCGTACCATGCACTTCCCGAGAAGAGCTCGTGTGTTTGATTTTTCAACGGAATCTCCTCCCACATCTCGGTCCGTTTTCACTCGTTGTTCAAACAGTTGTGCTCGATGCCCAGATCGGCGGACTGGCCACGTTCGACCATCGTAACTTAACATAAGCCCACTGTTCTTAACCACGGCCGTCGAGCGGGAGCAGCGTGTACAACGAAAACGACGACGACAACAACATCAACAACAACGACGCCGACGACGACCATACCCTCGGAGGGGTGAACGATCTCTGGATGGCTTCGACGTGGACGACGCACCCTGAACCATTGTTGTTCGTTGAACTATTTTTCGTGCTGGGCCTTATTTTCGAAATAAGATTGGGTCTATGTAGTTGACAAGCGGATCTTGCTCGCTGAGTCGGCCGGCGCGCTCGGCTAGCTCGTTCGTCGTAACAGCGACGTTTGCTTAAACCACTAGGTCTAACCAATGTTTTTCGGAAATCGTGTCTACTTGTCTATCCTGTTGTAGATGTTGGCATCGCCTATCGCCGTTTTTAAAAATAGCGCGCACAATCCGATATCTAGCTGCTCTGAGTCCGTTCATGATCCAGTCTCAGGGTCTCACATTCAACCGTGGACGACACTGGATAATGAGCTCGATACCATATCGGCCACGAGAGGATCCGGCCGTCCGTCTATTTTTCGGATCACGACGGATATCATACGTTTCTGGTTGATCGGGCACCGGCGAGAAGTTCCCTAGTTGCTGTCCTTAAATTCGGAACCCCGGAATGTCGCTAATCTCAGATTCTTTCCGAAGGAGTAGGTATTGCTCCGACAATCTACGGCTTGAGGGTTCAAAGAAGCACTTGTGGGGAAAGCCTTGTGAAAGCTTGTGTGATCTATGTTCTCGAGGACGATGGGAAGCGTTCCATTTTCGAGCTGTCAGGAGGTCTGATCGCGCCCGTTACCTGACGTCACGTGTTCCGAAGGGGTCGCTTTAAACGTCTGGAGAGCCTTACGCATATCTCAAGGTGAAAGCCTAAAGCAACGAGAGTGACGTCTGGCTTCAGAGAGGTTTGCCCATGGAAATACGATACGGTCATGTGAAGGATCTCTCACATGCCCACAACGGTCGATTGTTTGGATCGCACGTTTCTCGCGCTCAGAGCAGGGGAACCCGACGGCTCCGACGTTGACCAACACGAGCTGGTTACCATGTCGAAGAAGGATCGTGTCTA